ATATCTCTATTCTCAAATTGGTTAAGTTCAATCTCTTTTCCGTCATGATCAGTATGATGTTCAACAACATATTTGCTGCTAATTTGAGTAGTAGTAAAATCACACACATGCACATAATTGTCATCACAAATTTGTTATTATTTTTCTAGATTAATTTTAACATGAAATTGCCTAAATTCCTAACAGCTTTGTCCAGATATCTAGGAGTTCTTCATATCTTGGCTTGAGGAGGTGGTGTGCCCACTTAGGACTAAGGCCTGAACCATCAACTTATGGCTGGCATGGATGGCCAACCATCTGGAATGCATATTGCGTAGAGCCATCAAGCGAGGATCCCTTCGCTACAGACTTGGATGTTCTTTGAAAGAATTCCTTATTTGACACTGGGAAAATGAGTCGTTCCTTTCTTGGCCCCGAAATTTTCTTCGTTACTTATTTGACACTTACTTGAACTTTCATCCCTAATATGACACCGCAGTCAAATCCATTAGCTAACGGTGTTAAGTGGCTATTAAAAAGACCATTTTGCCCCTGGGCGCTGGCGCATGCATGCAGCGGGCGTTGGGCGCATGCATGCAGTGCATGCAGAGGCGCGGATGCATGCATGCAGCGTATCTGGCCCCTGGCTGCTCTTTTTTTTGTCAACATGATACAGCAGTGTCACAGATATGATACAGCATGATTTCTGACACATTTATACAATATTTTTTCAACATTTACACAGCATGATGATGACACATGATATAGCAAGTTCATAGACCAGCACCACATTAACTTCAAACACAAAACGGTTCACATATACATGTAAGTTCATAGGAGTCCAAATTCACATGCAAGTTCACACACAAAGGTTCACGGATACATGCAAATTCACACACAAAGCGGAGTCCAAATTCACAGATACATGAGGATCACAGGTTGAGCCTTCTTTTTTTGCTTCTTGTGCTCATTGTAGGGCTAGCAAGATCCACCCTTTTGCTTCTTGTGCCCATTGCAGGGCTGTCAAGTGGCAGCATAGGAATGGTGGTTTTCTTTTTAGTAGGCTCCTTTTTCTTTTTGCTCTTTGCCTTGACTGGAGCATCAGTAGGCGCTGGTTCATTTGAATCTGATATTGACCTTTGTACGGCAGAACTAGATTTGAACAAGAGACAACAAAGTAACAGTAGCAACAAAATAGCAATAGCAGTGTGACCTTTTTTTAATCTGTGTATTACCTTTTTGATGCTCCAGATCTAGATTTGCCCTTATTTGCCTTTTTCTTGAATGTAACCTCCTCGCTTTTTTGATGCTCCAATACTAGAAATGACTTGGTTATCCTTACTCTTCGTACTTGTCTCCAAATTTTGGCTAACATGGCAAAAGTAAAGTGCCAGTGTGGAAAAGACACAGAAGTAGCTGGTGCTTCATTGTCCAAAGGCACAATGGATGACTCTGCTGTTTTGGTTTTCTTTGCCTTCTTCTTAGGTGGTCCTCTACATGATAAAGAAGAAAGTAGTTACAATCTATATTATGCCAAAAGGAAAATACAATCAACAATAAAGTAGTTAGCATGTATAGTACCTCACAGCCATCATAGCAGCAATGTACTCTGGATTACCTTTCTTGCAGTTGTGCCAATGATGGCCATAGCCTGTACAAATAGGGCACTGGTGCTGGCCTTTTTTCCTCTTATTCTCACTACAGCCTTTGTACCTCTCAGTTTTTGGCCTACCAGCAGTTGCTTTCAATAGAGGTGGATGCAAGAAAAATCCATGTGTAGATTTAGGCCACTGGCGTTTGTCAGTCATAGCAGGGATTAAGTGCTGATATGCTGCTCTAAACTTGTCAATAGAGTAATACATGTCTACATACTTCTCTAGAGGAGCATTGTGAAGTGATGTGATAAATGCTACTGCATGTTTGTAAGGAATGCTATAAACTTGCCACTGTCTACATGAACATGTCTTATCTTACAAGTTGACAACAAACCTAAAGCCAGTACCCCCAATGCTGTAACTTCAGCAACTTCTGAGCATTCAAGCACCTCCAAGTTTAATTCTCTACTCATTTCTTCCAGTTTCTTAATTATGTGGGGCAGAATCAAGCCATCTAACTTCATTGCTATTTTTCTCCTTTGGTTCCACTTGATCATAAGCATTTGCCTTAATTTGTCCATTAAGTCATCCAAGTTCAAGGACTTGTGGTGCTTAATCCAATTGTTGAAGGACTCAGCCAAGTTGTTGGTTACATAATCAACCTTGGAAATGGTTGAGAACTGACTCCTTGTCCACAGCCTAGTGTGCAACTTCCTAAGGTAATTAGTAGCACTTGGCTTTGCTGCCTCCATTGTAGGCCAATGTTTCTCAAACAAATATGGGTTCTATGAGTATGCTGCTGCCTAAAGGTGGTCATCAAAAACCTTGCCATGAAATTTTTTTCTTAAAATTGGACACCAAGTGAAACATACATTCCCTATGTTCTGCCTCTGGGAACACATCACCTACCCCTGACATCACTGCTTGGCCAGCATCAGTGCATATGGTTAAACCCCTTGGTGATCCTATGGCCTCTCTAACTCTCTTCATGAACCATTTCCAATTATCATTTGTTTTAGAATCAAAAACTCCAAAGCAAACAGGAAATAACCAATTGTGGCCATCAACAGCTGAAGCACTAGCTAACTGCCCCTTAAACTTGCCTATCAGGAAAGTGCTATCTATTGCTAAGTATGGCCTACAACCACTTATGAACCCATCAATGCATGGTTTCAAGGCAAAGAAAAACTTTTAAATCTGATCTTCCCATTTATTGTGTGATGATCTATCACTACTACGCTACCAGGGCAAGTGCTCTCAACTTGTGCCTTAAACCTATACAAATTGTCAATGCTATTGTCCCAGTCACCATAAATATGCCTCAATGCTAGCTCTTTACCCATCCACACCCTCTTGTAGTGGACACTCACCTTGTAGTGTTCTTTAAGCTTCTTTTTCAACAGCATTGAACCAAGTGATCCATCCTCAATGAGCCAGTCCTTAACTTTATACCCAATGCTTGGTGGCATTCTTGACCTTCTTCTTCCTCCTTGTACTGGAGCACTGATGAGCATATGGGTTCTTCTTCACCTACAAAAGATTAACATCCCTATTTAGCTACAACAACATAACAGAATAAATATTTAGGAAAAAAATAGAAATTATTTATGCTGAATAATTACCACTATAGTGCACATACCATCTGTTGTAGAAGCATGTAGTCTCTATGGGCAATTATCCTCCTCCCACCTTGAACAATAGGACCTGAACCTATATGGTGCACTCTTCTCTGTGTTATACTCAAATTCACGTTTGATTGCATGCTAAGATAATACAATCTTAAACTCTGCCATGCTAGGATATGTTGAGCCAACTACCATTGGAGGGTCTTCTTTATTATATTCCATGTTTGGAATATGTTCTGCCTCATGTCCTACCAACTCTTGGCCATCCTCTAATTCAGTTCCTGACTCAATCTCCAATTCATCCTCATCCTCATCCTCAACCTCATCCTCACTCTCAACCTTTTCTTTGTCCTGATCCTTATGCACAATCATAGCCATATTTGTATCTTCACAAGGTGTCTTCTCTAAGTACATGACCTCATCATCAACACCTACATGCTTATTCTCTGGTACTGGGTTGCAAAGGTACCTATCCTCATCTTCTGCAACATTCTTAGCCGCAGCCTGCATTTGCACATCACTATGCCACTCTTTGATGGGCTCAAATGGTTCAGAGGGATCACAGTAAGAAATGAACATGTCGACAACCTTTGTCTTTGGATTTTTCTCAAACATAGACAACAAATCTTGGTCATAATGAACTTCAGGGAATTCTTTCATATCATGGTCATAGTACTGAAGATGAGCTACTTCCAAATAACCTAGCGGGTACTTCTCTACAATCTCTTCAAGTAAATCCTTATAGTTTGTCAAATCTGAATCAATAGTCATATCAAAACAGAAACACCTAAAATCCTTTCTAACTCTCTTTTTTGTTGTCAAACAGTCTAATTTCTAGCAAATATGTTGAATTTGGATCCATCCTGCAAATGAAAAGAACAATCTAAAGAATCAACATTGCTACTTGCACATCACTTTTGCACTGCTTAGATGAATCGAAGGCTAGCACTCACCCTTCAAGGAGCCAGTCTGGCTTTGTGCCAGCATTATCTGACCCTCCATGGCCCCCTGAATCCCGTCCGAGCGTGCTGCCTGGATTTTGAATACAAGTCAATGAAGCTTCAAGTTCATTTTGCTTTGTGCTCAGACTACACAAGATCCTAAAATTTGTTAAGCACAACACAAATACGTAGAATATGAATGGCTACATGCTAGGTGGATCGGAGCCATTTATGATGATCAGAACGAGATCTAGCGGGTGGTGTTGGATCATTTTGGAATTTGAGACCGGTCTTGCAGAGTCCCAGTGTCATGTCATGTGCGAGTTGCATTACCGCTACAACCAAGTAGAGCAGACAGATCTAGCGATCAATCCCATCCCAATCCTCCATGGCCACTGCTAGAGTACGTTGGTAGTAGTAATAAAGAAAACATGTCAGCAGCGAGGGTCCAGCCGGCCGGCTCCACCAGCTCAGAGAGAGAGGGACGAAGGAGAGATGAGATGAGAGAGAGAGAGAAGGGCCGGGGCCGGGGAGCGTGTGCGTGTGTGTGCGCGCTGCGCTGCGCTGTGAGCACTGTCTGGTGCTGCGGCCAAGCAAGAGGACATGCATTTGAAGCCCCCAATAATTCTTCTCCTCACCCACACCACAGCGAGTACACCACCGCACCCCACCCCACCCCCGACCCGATGGCCAGCCGCCAGCTGCTGTGCCTTTGTTCCCATGCGTCGACAAGCCTACCTCACCTCTCACTTGCTCACGCCACCAAGAATCTTTCCCCCCTTCCTCCTCCTCCTGGCCTCTCTCTCCTCTCCTCTTCTCCCTCCTGTGAGTGAGCTGGAGAGGAGCTAGCCGAGCGAGTGATGGCATGGGGAGCTTGCACTGCTGCTCTCCTGCTGCTCCTCCTCCTCGCAGCAGTAGCAGCAGCAGCAGCAGGTGGTAATGGCGGCGTGCATTGCCTTCACCTTGAGGAGGGGAGGAGGTCGAGGCACCTCCTGAGCAGGAGATCCTAAAACATGTACAAAATGCAAAAGACAGTACCACCAGGGGGGCTCGCCGCCGCATCTGCAACCAGGCCGGGGGAGCTCGCAGCCGGCACTGCCTGCGCAACCCACCTGGGGGGGGCCGCCCGAGCTACAGCCGAGCCCCGCCCGAGGGAGCCGCTGGCCGGATCCACATCCTCCCCCGCCGGATCTCCTTCCATCTCGCCGCCGACAGCCGGCCACCGCTAGGAATCTCGCCCCCCGCCGCCGGATTGGTCTAGGGTTCGCCTAGGACAGTCACGCACGGGAGACGCACGCATGGGAGAGAGTCGACGGAGAGTAATTTTGACCCCAATCAACATATGTGAGAGCGTGTCCCAGGGTCTCTAACGGAAGAAGCTAACGGAGCGGACGGTAGTGTCATATTAGGGATGAAAATTGAAGTGAGTGTCAAATAAGAAACGAAGAAAATTTCAAGACCAAGAAAGAAATGACTTATTTTCCTAGTGTCAAATAAGGAAGTCTCTCATGTTCTTTTTGGCCCTTATTCCTTAGTTTGGCACTCTTCAACTCCACCATTCTTGACTACTTGCTTGCCTAGCCCAGGATTCTATAGCAGGCGATGAGAAGTCGATGACTGTAGTGGATCCAGACAGTTGATTTCTTCTCTTCACCAATGCTTTGGACGTGTTTCATTTTCTCTGTTTTTTGGGTCGTTTGATCTTTACCCAATATTCTCTAATAGTAGTAGTATTTGAGACTTTGAGTGACCAGATGATTCAGATCACACTACTGTTTTGTTTCCAGATTTGTGTTATTTGTTTTTGAAAGAAGATTTGTGTTATTTGTCCATATTCATTACTCGAGTCACCTTTGACTATAAATCACTCTGATTTGCTGCCAACTACAAATTTGTGTGGTGGTTGTCAAATCACTCGGGTATCTGAAGGGCTCAGACTCAGATCACTCAAGTTATGTATAAACAGATCTTTTTCATCAAGATAACTAATTTGCGTCCTTCTCTTGTAGCGAGTTGCGTCATCTCTGCGGCCGTTATGTGCATGGAAGCTCAGTACAGACGACTAAATGAGAACTATCATGGAGCAAACTCATGCGTTTTGAAGGTGACAGCCGAGGCTGTACAATCTCTCAAGAACAAGTGCAAGAAGGGAAGAGCCTGGAAACCTAATGTTGGGGCACCAACTGTAGCGGGTGTCCTGGAGGTGATCCGTTCGTGGGAGCAGGGGCTGTCAACTGTCCTCGACAATACATCTCTGAGGCTCAAACACTATGTGACCTTTAAGGCCGGCGAGCTGAGCCCCTCGGAAGTCACCTCTTTGCTCCACAAAATGGGACCGGTGGTTGGTGTCCTGTACACAGATGGCGAATACTTCAGGAGCGCGGTATTCCGAGGGGACAAGGCCTTTCCCGCCAACCATGCTGTCACCTGCACTGGTTATCGTTATGTGGATGGCGAACTCTTCATAATAATAATGGATAACGTTGAACGTGGAGGCCCGTTTCGATTTGTTCTGTACGAGGCATTCGCAGAGTTCCACGTCCTCACAGTCAACGCTAGCAGCTAGCAAGCAGGAGGTATGCTTGACAATCTGAAGAAGTTGAGCAAGATATTTTTGATGTGCAGTTGGTGAATTACTCAAGATACATCGATCTCTTGTATATGTACTTTTGGGTTTTGAATGCTGGTCGATCAGTAGCTGAGCTAGGAGTAGCAATTCATGTGTTCCGGCAAGTTGCCTTCCCCTTGTCTCATTTCTCACCTTTCCATTGATCTGTGAAGTAGAATGGATTAAGGGCGTGATTGGTTGCTTTGGTATTGGGGAGCCGCGATAGAGAGGCGGTCCGGGATGGTGAGATGCATGCTCAAATCGTGCACCCAGTCATGTTTGGTTGTCTTTGTTGTTGGTCCAGTACGAAATGGGATTTTGTTTGGTTGCATGCATGGACGAGAGTTTTAAGTGTGTGACACATGGGCCCTTGTACCATGGGTGCATCGTGTCGTCCTGCATCGCGAGGGAAATGGAAATTGAGAAGACGGAGTCGCGCAGGACGGTGGAGGGCAGAGGAATGAAACGAAATAGGTAAAGCGTGCGAGGCGGGAAACCAAACACGGCAGAGGAATAAGGTGAAACAGGCAAAAGGTGCAAGGATGGTTTGGTTCGGGCAACCAATCAACCCCTAATATATCGACTAACACGTCATCCCGTACAAACTAATAATCAGTACAGGCACTTATAGGAACAAAATCATTCCATTGAATTTCATAAGATTTCTAAATAAAAAATTTAGAAAACAGACCTCTGATTAACAAAGGTGAGCATTTTTAGGTGCCGCCTCTGTATATGCTCAAGCAAGAGACAATTCGGTGTGTGTCCCTAAAAAAGTTGGTCACCCCGTATATACCATGAAAAAAGTTTATCACAATTCCCTTGTGGGGTGTTTGACTTGAGAAATTATTAGGTGATTCATCTTCTCATTTCTCACCTTTTTTATTTGATTTGTGAAGTAGAATGGTTAATCTACTACCACCTCATCTCACACGAACTAATAATTAGTAGAAGCATATTAGGAACCAAATCATTCCATCAAATTTCATAAGATTCACTACTAAAAAGATAAGGAAACATGCCCCTGGTTAGCAGAAGGCAGACATCTCTGCCGTGTTCCTCCGTCAGGTATCTCAGAATTCCTATTGCACGTGCAGTCAGGGTCCTTCACGGCCCTGCCTGAGCGCTTGTGACCGGCATGGCGGCGCAGCCCGAGCAGCCGGTCAGGAACCCATGGGTTATGGGCTAATCTAGCTATTGGGTTGGAGGAGGAAATGGGCTCCAGCACTAGGCTCACCTTGGCCCATGAAAGAAGCCATGCGAATTGCAGCGTGATACATATATATATACAGAACCAAGCCGAGCAGAAGAACTGTCGAAGGACCAGAACCTGAACCACGAACCGGCGGGGATGCGGCTAGATTTCCTATCCCCATCTTCCCTTCCTCCTGCCCTCATCCTTATATCCAGAACCTTCTAGCATATTCTAGAACACGAATTGGTTGTACCAGCATCTGGGACGGTGACACAGCCTCCGCGAGGAGTTCCTGTACCTGCGCAGCCCAAGACCGGTAAGTTTGTGAGTTCTGAATTGAAGGGGAATTGGAGTGAAGGATCGGCCTGCTTTCAATTAAACGTTTGTTAATAGTTTCATTCAGCACGTGACTTGGGCCTGATGCTTTTGAGGTGTTCGATTAAAATATCTGGCTATATTGTGGGATGTTACGATGTAGCTAAAGAGATGTAATGGTAACGTTAGTGGTTAGTCATTGTTCATTCCAGTCCTTGTGGACTGGAGAGAAATAAATCACGGTACCATGTCGCCTTATCTAATTACTCCATCTGTTACTTAATAGATAGATTTCTAGAATTATATTGAGTCAAAAATTTAAACTTTGACCGAATTTCTAGAAAATACCTTCAAGATTTATGACATCAAATTAGTAATATTATATATATCATAGAATCTATTTTCATAATGTGCTCATTTTATATTATAAATGTTGTTATTCTTTCTTATAAAGTTAGTTAAACTTAAGATAGTTTGACTAGCATGGATTCTATGAATTGATTTATTTTGAGACCGAGAGAGTATTACTTACAGGAGCTTGGTGATGTGTGCACTAAGGCCAAGCCAACAATTGAATCATCCCTATGAGATTGGAGAGATAGCTATCTTTTATAGTTTACTTTTTTCTTATCCGGGCATGAATGCCTTGTAATTTCAGCTCTGTAATTATCATTCTTTTATTTAATGGGGGGAATAGGTAGGGGCTCCCCTGCCGTTTTCTGTAAAAAAGAAGGTATTACTTACTCTATTTCAAACTGTAGACCATATTATGATTGAAACAATCATATTGTAAACTTTCACTGTCAATTAGTCAAAATTATATACATATTAAGTGAACAAAAGATACATATTCATATTTGACATGCCTTTTAGTAGAGGCACTGCTTTCTGTAGTACTAGCTGATAATATGTTGTAATATAAGAGAACTTATTAAAAGCGAAATCGCACTTTAAAAATGTCATGGTTATAACCTGGGATGTCTCAAGTCACCGATTATTTAGTAGGCCACGATGCCTGCAATGCGCTAGCTGGCGAAGGCCCGAACGACCGAGGCCCAGTCAAGCCGAGCAAGGCAGGCCGGACGCAAGGGCCAGGGTCAGCCACGACCTCTTTCTCCAGCCCTAGCCGCGCGATGTTCGCAAAGCACACGACCTCTCCCCATTAAGACCATCGAAAGAGATGGGGAAAGGTCGCGTCCGGCCAAGCACTCCAGCTCTAACAAAAGCCAGCACGCCGCACTGACCCCGCAAGGACCGAGGGGACATCAGTCACCTCAGCCCGGTCAGACACCAAACCTGTGCCACGCCACACGGACAAGACCACACCGCCTCAAAGCGGTGATAACGGGTACAGAGACCATGTCAAACAGGACGGCTGACGAACCATCACCATGCCCATAGTGCCGCCACGGCCGGCACAGTAATACTACGTCACACCCTATCGTAGCACGACCACAAGACCATGACGATAGCCACGACCGGACGAGTACCAGAAGACGGCGTAACTTGCAAGCCAAGTTAGCTAGGACCTCCCTCAGACTCATGACCCTTCGGTCGGGAGAGCCTCCTCTTTGTATGAGCCCTGACTCTGAATTCTATATAAGGACCGCCAGGGCAACACGAATTCACATCCTCTACCATTTTATTCATTCACCATTGTAGTAAGGCTTCTGGAGCTTCTCTTCGGGCAGCCCTTCGCCTAGCATAGGACCTTCCACCATTCTTGCACCCCCATTGTAAGAACTTCAGAGCATTCAAGCGAGAAACACACACTCGATCATCTATGATACTAGACGTAGGGTTTCGGCCTGAACCAGTATAAATCCTCGTGTCTATTGGATGCTACCATCGTCTTCCTAGAGCAGCGCAGCAATCGTATGAGTTTACTAGTTCGGTTTACAAAACACCGACAGAAAGACTTTCTAAAATCCTAATATGACTTACATGAAGAATGGCGTAGCTTGTTTTTAGATGGCTCAGATCTGTTTCATGTATTGCGGTTAGGATATTTCTCAAAGGCCATTAATTCTGCAGTTCCCTTGAATATGCAATTAGATTTGTAGATTTCTTAATATGTTGTCTAAGCCTCAAGCCATGGGCAAAAATACATAGCCCGATATATATATATATATAGTCTATATCTATATAATCTATATATAATATTAAAGAGGTAAAATTTTTCTCCGCCTATTTTTTTTAGTCCATCTCCCTTTAACTACTCGAATATGGAGTTCCGTTCAAACTTATATTACCCGTATATGTACGGGTTTGAACGCACCGACCTAGGAAGACAACTCTCTTGTATTTTTGTTATCGCTTCACGCAAATCGAGTAATAACTGGAGTTCTCCCAGCCCAGCTTTTAACTTGGTTCAACTCTTCTTTCAATTTCCGGTGTGGTACTAAAGTTCGGTTGCTACATTGTTTTCCACGGCGCCACAGTACCACGCAAACTCGGCCAGCCCACAGCCTGCCGATGCTTCTCATTCCACTGCCTCTCACACAACTCATGAGCGATCTTTTTCTCCCACGATTAATGTTTCGTGTCCGGCTCAATTTTCTTAGATTTCCTATATACGGTGCTGGGCGATGCGTTTCTTTTTTCTTTCTGTTCTTTCTCCATATATAAGCCCCATAGTTTGTTTTCAATATCAGCCTATTCGGTTGGCTGGTTCGTATCATTGCTGATTTATTTATGTGAGAGAGAAGTACTGCTGACCGGTTCATATAAACAGTGTACATGTGAGGGGGCTTGCCAGGCCAGCCAGCCAGCCAGCCCCAGCCAAACACGCTCTATATTTTCTCTCTCTCTCTCTCCAGTTTTTCCTGCATGTCCCGTTTCCTTTTTGGGGCATTCCTGTTTTTTTTCCTACGCTCAGTCTGATCTAGTACCGGTTTATTCTTTTTTCCTTATAAAAACGTGAAAAATCTCTACCTCTCTATCTATCTATATATCGATCTCTCTAACTACTTCTAATATCTACAAATAATATATATAATAATAATAATAATAATAATACTAATAACAACAATAATAATGGTTATTATTAAAAGACACCTCTCTAACTATTTCTAATATCTACAAATAATATATATATATAATAATAATAATAATAATAATAATAATAATAATAATAATAATAATAATAATAATAATAATAATAATAACAACAACAACAACAACAATAATAATGGTTATTATTAAAAGACAAAGAGTTTCTTCCAAACCGTTTTTATATTATCAAAAGACATAAGTGCAGCTTTAATTCTCGTGTCACATTTGTGATTTGGATTCATGACCCGGACTGGCGTCCACTCACAATCCAAAATCCAATTAAAAAAGTATTGGACTCCGTTGTAAGTCACGTTTTGCTAGTAATTAATAAATGTGAAATCCTTCTGATCCACGCTTCTTACTTTCTCCACACGTGAACTCCGAACGCCCTTGG